AAGGAAGCACAGAGTCGAGCCAAGCCCTTGAGCCAAAATGGCTTGAGCCAAAATGGCTTCTCGTGTCTCCCCCACCAGTACGGCCTCAGGACACCGGCTGTGGGGCGTCCTCCGCATGTGACGAAGATCCGTGGCATCCCGCTTCAAGAGTGTTCAATTTTGCCCTTTTCATTTGTTAGCCGCGGAAACCACGCATTCCGCCCCAACTGCAACCCGTTCTCCAGCTTTGTGTTCCTCTGACACAGCACAACAGCCAGTGTGGAAGGTGGCAAAAGTGAAGATGTTCAGCTGGGTCCTGTGGGTGTGTTGCTGTGGGTGTTGTTGGTTCGGGTAAAGGGCCAATCACCCTCCGCAAGTTAGAAGTTTGCCGTTGGCACGGTTCGGAACAGGTGCGTCTTCCAAGTGGTTGCTGCGAGGAAGAATGGTTAGCGCCTGTCTCATCTCCCGGGCCAGTGGGCTTTCACTAGGAGAGATTGCTGCCGCGTAAATTCGAGGCCGTGAACATTGTCGATCTCTTCAATGAGTTTGGCACCAAGTGTATGCTGCACGTTGTAGCCAAAAAGTTGCCATACGTGAGTGGATGTTGACCTGCTGTCAAGGTTGAACCTCTTGGCTGGTGCTGTAAGTGCCCCGCCGGCGGCAGTTACATACGAATCGGGTGGCTGCTCTTGCTGGCATCAAAAATCTTTGCGTCCCAGTCTGTTGCCAGGATATCTGCACCGAGACGACATGTCCAACAATGAGTGCCGGCAGTTATGCGTGGCAGTGGGCAGATGGTGACAAAGTCAAGGTGCTGCCAAGATGTGTGCACAACGTGTCACACATGATTGCCTGCCAGACGCCCCAGCAGCTGTCAGCGCCAAAGTATATAGAGAAGTTGTTGGTGTGGGTGGCAAGCTCAGCAGCACCAGACACCAAAAGTTTTGCTAATCTGAGTCCCACATGTCTCATGGCCAGCTGTTGTGCGAAGATGTTGAGGTCGAGTCCCAGCTGGCAGACGAGCGAAGACCTCAGTTTGTGCAACGCACCTGTGCGTTTCAGGTTGCATGTTTGTCTGGATCCATTGCAGCGGGCTGTAGCGTAGAGCTATCAGTTGAAGGGGTTGGCTGGGGACTGCACAGAACCGGGCCTCGGTGCTTCGAACTCCGAATCCCCTGTCGTCACACAGGGTCCACGTTCGACATGGTACGGTACGTCAGACGGTATCATGCCACCGATGAGTGCAGACGCTGTGTTGTAGAAGCATTCACCGAAACAAGAACAAGATGACAGACCAATGGTTTGAGTTTTGAAGCCATGCCCTTTCCTGGGTGGCTAGTGGAGCACGGTCTTACTGGGATTCCTTCCGTCGAAAGCATGTCAGTACGGATTCAAGCCAAAGCTTTACATGATTACCTTCAACTACGTTTTCACCAGGACATTTCTGCCTGTCAAGCCCGGGCAACCGTTCCCACCCCACTTCAAGAAGGCAGGTGCTTCCGTCAAGCAAACATTGCAGCTGGCATGAGCAGCGTGCGCAGGGGATCAAAGTGATGTACAAGCGCCTTTTCCGAATCTACGCACATATTTTCCACCACCACTTCAAGGCGGCTGGGGCTGCAGCAGGCGGTCAATATTTTGCGCAGAAAGCAAGAAGACCCAGGAGCTGGCTGAGTGCGACGCTGATGCTCACTTGCCATTGCCTCGGGCCGTCGGCATTTGTTACCTTGCATGCTTGATACACCTTGTGCTTTGCCGACATCGCACCCAGGAACCACTCCTTCAAGCATTTCGTGTACTTCGTAAAGGAGTTTGACTTGGTAGAAGACTCGGAGTCCGAGCCTCGGCTGGTTCGGGTGATTCACGAGAAAGCTTCAACTGGCATAGGCTGGAGCCAATGGCGGACTTGATCAGCCTGTTGATGCGCAAGCGAGCACAGGCAAGAATGCAGTAAACCTTCTTGCCTGCATTCGATGATTTCCGCAAGTACTGTCTTGATGTACACACACGCAGGAGGCGCATCAAGCTTCACCCGAGACTGCATAAAGTGAGATAGTTGTCGCGACTGGAACCCCTTCAGATTCCGAGCTGAAGCAGCACTCGTGCAATCGCAATGATGTGCTGTAGCTGAGAAGGCACATCTGCAAAAGACTGGCCGAAAGCTGCATAGCAGTTAGATCTTGCCGTATACCATCTAGCTGGCGCAGAAGCTGTGGATGCCTTGCACGCTGGCTCGAAGCCACTAACATGTCGCAGCTGCTGAGTAGGCGAATCCTGCAATGTTCGCGAAAGGATGTAGAGGCGTAGAGTCTGCAAGTGCCGTAGGTAACATCGCGCCGGAGTTTTTGGTAATTGTGCTAAGCTGCTTGACTCACGGACATAGACATCTCCGAAACGGGAAAGCTCAAACAAAAACCTATGCTGACCGGCCTTCGATGGCTGGCCCCGAAAGCTCACCGGATGTAAGCCCAGAGGCACACCATGTAGACTGGTCACGTCCTTGTCCTTGTGGGTGGCTTTATTTCACATTCGACTGGATTCAGGTGAGCCCTGGCGCCCTGTCACTGCATCCGCCTTTTGCCTATTCACTTGCGTCAGTGGTCGAAGCGAACCTGATGTGCAAAGCCTTGCGACTGCACAGGTTCACGCCAACCAAGCTGGGAAAGAGCAGTTGGGCTGCCCAGTCAATGTGCATCGGTGTTGATTGCGCCTGCCTTCTGACTGCAGGCGAGCATGAGCATTTCACCAAGGCTCTGGTCCTTTACCTGTCACAGCTCTCGCCTATAACTGAACTGTGTTCACGACTCAGGATTCCATCTTGGGCACTTCAGCTGCGGCCACCGACCGTCTGGGCCCTTTCCAAGCCTGCTTTTCGCGAAAGTTAAGTTTCGGCGAATGCTGGCAGACTATAAGGTTGTCGCAGGAGCTCCAAAGTATGGCGGAAGCGATTGGTGAAGAGCCTGCAGACGCCGTCATGCGCCAGTCGTTGATTCTCTTGGGTCTGATACATCCTGGTTCAACATCGAGAGAGATGATGGCAGGTGGAGGCGGCAACAGCTGCAGCCTTCTTGGGAGACAGTTCGGACCGCCCGCGCCCAAGGCTCTCAACAGTCTGCCGTGCCACCGGACTGCACATCCGCACACACTGTTTGCGCACGCTTTTTTCGAAGAAGGTCGAGCTGCATGAGGAAGAGCGGAATCTCATTGCACAGCAGCAGGTTCCGGCCGTTCCGCTTGTCGAAATGTCCACGCGAACTGCAGCTGCCATGCTGCATCCTCGAGCCTGTCAGGCACATGGTTGTTGTTTAAGTTGGTGCTGGGCAGGGCCCCTACTTAAGCCCATTGCATGGATCACCCATGTGCCGCCCTGAAGCTCACCCATTGCCAGACAAAGTGTTCTTTGATGGAGGCTTCCTATACATAGGCAACATGTGAAGGCTTCCATTTCATCCCTCAACTTCTCAGGCCATTCAGAACTGGCTCCTCGCAGCGAGCAGCATCCCTATGCAGCCTAAGTGGCGCAACGCCTGAAAAGCATTCAGCAGAACTTGCCCTATTGCTTTGTCGAGGTGTCGGAGCCCTGTGCTTTGTGACTTACGGCGTCATCGAAATCTCTGTAGAAACCTCTGTTGCGAAAAACTGCTCAAATTGGATCTCCCTTGTTCATATACTGCTTGAAAAGGTCGGAGCCCTGTCCTCGTTTCGGTTTGGCTTCTGCAGTGCCGAACCCTTGAGGTGCCTCTGCATGTTCGCATTACAGGTTCCTGAAACTGGGTCTTCGCCACTGCAGCAACCTCCGCTCATTCTTTCGACGGCAGGAGTGAAGAGCATTGCCCAAAGGGGCAGTGGGCCAGAATCTCATTGCTGCTTGCTGTACTGATGGCAAACGAAGGTGGAGCTGCATTGGCCATCTGCAGTTCAGGCCTCCTGGGGTGCCAATATTATTGGATTCAGCGCCTCCGTCTGTTTGGGCACTAGCCTTGATAGGATGGCTGCTTATTAAAAGAATGCAGATGTAGAGGCTGCAAGAGCGCCGAGGCACCTGGATGGCAGCGGCATCTGCCGAGCCCTTTGTTTGCTGGGTTCAACAATCAAGAGGCCAAGAGGTTCTGAGTGCGAGAGTGCGTCTCCGGCAGGCTTTCATTGTGAGCCGCTTCGCACCTGCCGCTAGTGGATCTGGCATTCCGGAGGCAGGAAGCCATTTGTCGCCATTGCAAGCAGAACGTGGCAAGTCAAGGGGTTACAGGTGAAGACGATTCTCAACGGCTTCGTACTGCCAGATGCAGGAATCTCAGAACCCAGCAGTCAATCAGCATCTGGGATGGGGCGTTACGTGCTGCGCGCTCCCGGGGGAGAGCATGAAGTAGTGATCCAAAGCTGGCGACCCAAGTTCGGAGCGACCCCGAGCCATTACAGTCGTAGTTTTGGCGTGATATGTTGCGTCGACTTCTTATTGTCGAGGTAGCTACGTTCCGCACTCTTCTCATCAAGGCCGGGTACACTTGCTAGAACAGAAGCAGGTTTTGCAAAGAGGCCTCTGTCAGTGTCCCAGGAACTACGAGCTGAGGTGTGAGGAATCGAGGCTTTGTCGATCTGCAGGTGCCCTGCTTGATTCTGGCGGTGGCATCTGGGTTGTCCCTCGGACATGAGGGCGCGAAGCTGAGTGTAACGGATCTGCTTGTGCCAAAAATCATCTCGACCGCTGACTTTTCTTCGGAGGCCCGATGGTGCACGTGGCAGTTTGCTGGGCCAACATTTTGTATGATTCTCAGACACACTGAGTTACTCGAATTGTTGCTTACCTTGGCTGGCAAACGGGCCTACGGGCCTTTAAGGTCGCGCCTCTTTCCACAGTTCCGGAATGAGGGCAAGAGGCGCCCAGAGCTGTGTGCATCCATGTTCTTCTTTGCCGCATTGCCGTGTGGAGCTTGTTCGCGGTCTGGCCCCAACTTGACTGCCAACTGAGGATGGCTAAACTTGAGCAATGCGCGCACATGAGCAATAGCCATAACATTACTATCTTTAGATGCTCATGTTATGTGTCGTCGCAATTCTAACAGTAAATAAATTCGTTTTGAAGCCTGCACTTACATCACCATTTGTCAGGCAGCAACTCTTTTCAGCGGCCGTGGCTGCGGGGGCACTGGACTCATAGTTTTGTTGTCTTGCTGCCTTGTGGGATTGGAGGGCTTACTAACGGCAGATGTGATGGGACTCTCACCCACCCTGTTCTGGAAGCACCTCACATGCTATTCAGAGTCCTGACGCTTGCAGATTGTTCCACGCTCATCCTAGGTCAGTTCTGCTTTTGGAACACCGGTCGGCGGCGTGCTTTTCAGCCTTGAGGAGGTACGCTTCCATGTATCGGGCACGGGGCTGCGGTTGCAATGGCGACTCTTGCCGAGGCCATTTGGGTCAAGGCTTGTCAACGTAGGACCTTTGCTTTGTTGCTTGGATTCAGCTCCGAGAGTGGGCTCAGAAACGTGTCTTCGGCTCGTACCGATTTTGGCGTGCACGAGCCGCATGGAATGCGCGACCTGGGCCAATCGCGGGGAGCTGGCAGCAAACTTACTGAAACGAACTCACCATCATCCTAACACATGTCGACACGGAGCACCTGAGACATGCCAAAAACTCTGATCCACAGTTTTCCTCTTCCTGGCGGTGCTTGCCTCATCTGCTTGCAAACTATGATGGGTCCAGCTCAGGTTCCTACTAACCCGCATACGGCCCTCTGGCAGTACAGCAGTACGTGGCAGCAAACAGGGTCTGCTACCGGGCCTGTGCTGCCCGAGCAGCAAAGCGAACTTGGCTTCTTGACTGGTCAAGGCTTAGGTCAAGCGTTTCTCTTCGGAACTGGGCTGAGCCACTGAGCTGAAGACCAGCAACAGCCGTCAAATTACAGATGCACGTTGCAAGTCAGCCAACTGTCATCGAACCCAGTTGGGCAAACACCAGGCTCGTGGGCAAAGTGCATTCAAGACGTGTCCTCACCTGCGGACGCGTAGCTGTTGGCGGACTGCTACATTCCGGCTCAAGCCTCCGATGTGGGCCTGACAGCACGGTAGGAGCATACATGCAACAAGTTTTAAGTTCATGAAATTCCGGTGCTTGGCACAATGCAAAGCAGCAAAAACCACCACTTCCGAAGCGCATCACCTTAGCTTTTCCCATGCAGGGCCTGTTTCACCCCCATGGCAAGCAAAAGGCCAAGCCTGAATCAGCAGTCTTCGGAGGATCTGAGGCATGCGACGGTTTCTCGACTGATGTTCTCTGTTAGTCATGGGCTCGCTGTCAACACATGCGGAAAATGACCTGAGGTTCTGTGTAAGGAAGGCTTGGAGTCGATAGTAAACTTCACGCCACTCGGCATGCGGTGAGTGCCATGCATACCTGCCTTCCATCATGTCCGCAATAGTTCTCGCCGTCGAGTAGATGAGGCCCGTTCACGTGGTGAAGGATCTGCCAACACCCTGGCCCAGATGCCTGGGGCTTGTATGTGGAAGCTTAGTTTGGCAGCACAGACATGATACTTCTTCATGCTTCTGGGTTCTGCGCTGAAACCAAATCCAGAAACCAGGTACTAAGCACACTCTTTCCCTCGCTCGCTAGCTTGTTGAAACACGAACCCGGTGACTTGAAGACTACCCTTGCTGGGCCATCCTCACCTCTAGAATCTAGTGCACTTGACCGTGAATTCAACTCACACAGATGGCTAATGAGTAACCGAAGCACCTGACTACACAACCATCGTCCCCAGAACTAGCTGAGACGCACGATGACATGACAGACAGCTGCCAGTGAGTCGTCGCGATACAAGACTGCCTTCATACAGTGGCGAGTTTTTGCATGCTCAGGTCAGGAATTGGTTCGACACCTTGGTGCTGAGAGTTGCTGCGTTGCAGTCAGCCACAGAAAGTTTTGGTCCTCCGTGATTGACCTGCAGCCGAGGAAAGACGCCTACTCGTGATGATCTGGTGCTCGCGGTTTCGCACGCCTGGTCGCACCAGCTACATCCGGATCCGCTAGGTTACTCGGACCGCACGATAGCACCGCTTTCGTGGCAGCTTCGAGAGTACGAGTGACCAACGAACAGGCGCGGAAACCATGAGCTGAAACTGCAACTTACCTGTTACAATTTCCCTTTCACGCTTTTGCTCTTCTCACTGTGAGAACAGTCTGAACACGCAACCATTGAGCACACCGAAAACTTCGAATTATCAGCACAGTTGGTTCTTGCTTGTTTGGGTGCTCGATGCCGGGAAAGTTTATCCTCGGGGACACGGACTTGTCACTCGAGCAGGCCAGTCGAAGCGTTACGGGCTTTGTAACCCACTCGAGACCCGCAGGGTTCTGGACGAATCATTTGGAGGGCCACCAGCCACTAGCCGCACCTTTGCATCGCAAGCAAAGGCTCCAAGGCAAGACCTCCGATCCGAGCCGTAAAGCAAAACCAAGCTGTCAGCGTCTGTCAGCCAAGGACGCAAAGCTGAAACCATCAAGCAGCTCACTGAAGAGGCTTGCAGCTGCTATGGAGGACATGGAGGCTTCAGTGGAGGATGCGCTGAACTGACACCTGCAGGCTCTGAAGGATCACCAGATCAAAGGCGATGCGTCACTTTGCTTGGAATGAAAAAGTCGGGTGACAGGTCCCTGATGTCGCATGGTGTGGCCAGGTCTAGCCGTTTGGCACTTTCGCATCTTTTGGTATCAAGGAAGTGCATGCCTGACGTGTCAGCTTAATGACAGCTTTCCAAGGATGTTATTTTATGATTTCATGAGCACCTGGACTGCAGCAAAGTTACTAGCATGAGCCATTTGTGGCTACGGCCTTCGGCACTTGTTTGCTAAGGCATGAGCCAAAATCCGTTCCAACCAGGACAAACTGAGAGAAGTCCGCAAGAGCAGGCGGACTTTCTAAAAGCCATCGATGCCTTGCCAGAGGCAGGCTTCTTGCAGCTGCGATTGTCACGTTCTTGCATCTGCGTCGTAGTGCAGACTGTGCTCCAGGTCTTCTTCACAGCCGATGCAGTGCTGCATGTGGAAGGGAATTGGCCAGAACTGGAGTGCGAGGGGCAGACACGAAAGGCAGCTGGGTAGCCTATGTGGCCTCATAGTTCCATCGGTTCGCTTCACCTTCAGCTTTTCATAGTCGACCGAAATATGATTTCGTATGCGGTTCTCCGAGAGCAAAATCACAGGTTCGGATTTGTTGTTTCGTAAAATCGACGCTGCAGGTCAGCATGTCGGAGCTGAACCGCATGAAGCTGAAGCAGCATGGGTCGGCCGTGATGATGTACGACGAATACCCGGCCAACGCGGCATGGCTGAACATGCCGCAGATCTTGAGTGGATGCGCTGCTGTCCAGATACCGAGACGCCATCTTTGCTTTACGGTGAATGTTTCAGCATCTAGGACACATGCACCACACATTCACTACTGATCCACCAGCCTTCCATGAACAAATGCATTGCGAAGTATGGTTGACCCAAGATGAGGAGGGTTTGCATGCAGACGACAGGATGGCAGCGTGGCAGAATTGCCAGTCTTCACCATTCGCAGCGACCCCTCCCTTGGCGACATCAAGAGCATCGACGATGTCTACAAGTTGAAGAAAGGGAAAGAAGGAACGGTCGCAGCCGGATGCGGGGAGTTGTTGCCGAATTTGCATCATCAAGCTGCATCAAGCTCACAGGCGGCTGCTTGCCGTGCAGACTCCATCGGCTCCACAAGTCGAGACCGAAGTCGGAAGCAGAGGCCGAGACAGACCCAGTGCAGCTTGACAAGACCTTGAGAAGCGCCGAAGCCGGCATACAAAAAGGAATTTGGACCTTGTCCCAGACGTTCACTGAGGTTCATCGTGCAGCCATCCCCGATGGGGAAGCGCAATGCAGTCCCGGCAGGCGAACGAGGCAGCAGACTGCTCGATTCGACCGTCCAATCTCGTCCTTGTCTTCTTAACTCTGAGAGGTTGGATTTACTTCGAGCGACTCGTTTCCACAATCCGTGTGGCCCTGACAGATGAGCAATATGCGGCAGCAGCCTCGGACCACAGGGTGTTGCAGTGTCTGCAGCCCTCGAACTCCTTAGAGCATGTCAGCCGAGGCTCGTACCGTCTATGCAAATGCGCCGGACTTGAAGGAGTGATTTGGATTGCAAGTAGCATTCAGGAGCCCTTTCACTTCGCGGGGGCCTCCATAGTTGAGCCTCATTGAGAAGCTCAGGTCGATCCTAGCTAGGGCACAGAAGTTGCGCCAGTGTGCGGCGCAAAGCAACAAGGCCTTGCAGGAGCCTTGTGCTGCAAGCAGCAATAAACAGTCAGCTCCATCACGATTGCGGTCGATCTCTTGTCTGAGGCGCAGTTCGAAGATTACATCGAGGAGATCAAGCAGAAGACCTTTTCTGCCACATCCTTGGATAAGAAAAAGGCATCAACCAAAAACACGGCGACGGCATCCTGGCAAAAATCTCTGGGTTAGGTCTTCCGAAATTTGAGTTTCAGGCGCTGGGTCGCTGCACAAATGTCATGCAGAGAACTTGTTCATTTTCCAGAGTTTCTGGCGGTGATCTTCTCGAGTAGGAAATATATGGTGTCGTCGTGCACGCTAGCCGGATATTGGCTTGCCATGACAAGCCGTTTTGAAGTCCAAGACTGACGGAAGGGCGTGTGCATGTACGTGTGCATGTATGCATGCATGCATGTATGTATGTATGCATGCACGGATGGCAGGATGTATGTAGTGTTACGCATGTATAGCACGGCAGACGTCTGCATAACATGGTGTAATATGTTTGAGATTGTCGTGCAACTCGTACGAGCCTCCTTTTTTCATCTTCCCTTGTTGCGTGCTGTCGATACCAAGCGAGAGTTCGCTTGCAATGGGCTCTTGTGTCTTGCTTTCGCATGTAGCAATGCTACGAGATCAACGGTCGAGCAGGTTGCCAAGCATACCTGTGGACATCCATCGCCGTAGCTTCGGTGCCCGAGATCCTGTATATTCCACATCCGAGAGTGCCCAAGATTGTTCGTGCGATGGGCAAATAGTGCTGGATGCGGAGCTGCATTTGACACACACATGATCTGAGGACGTGGATTTGGTTTTTTCCTTGCTGACCCAGTTGAGACAGCGCGTCTCACTGGCCCTCGCAATGACCGTCCGCAACCTATCTGTCGAGGACTGCGCGGCCTTGTTAGCTGAGCCACTCGGTGATGCAAGTTGGCCAGTGATGCTTCTTGAACAGATGCTTGGAAAATCACCATGCGGCAAAGGCAAGCTGACCTCAGTATTCAAGATGGGAGGGGTTATACTCCACTTCACAATGCCTCCAGGCAATGAGGGCCTTCCGGTTCCACTGCCTGTGTGCATCACGTGTTTGGGACAAGCTGTCTGGAAACAACGGCAGGTTTCGAAACGTTGAAGTGGTGCAGCTACTTCTCGATAGTGCCGCCAAGCGAGGACGAGACCTGCAGCTTGCAGCCAGGTTTTGCTCCCTGCAAATCCTTCATATCGCAAGTAAGTGTCAGCGTCTCAGGTCTGACCGAGCTTTCACCGTGTCTTGCTGTGTACGTTTCAGGAGCACGAGATCGGCTTGGCAACACCCCGGCTCATGTCATTCCGCTGTACGCTGACGAGATCACCGTGAGATTGCTGCAACTCCTCGCAGACGATGCCAAGCACCTGCGAAGAAAGTGCCTAAGCACAAGATTGCAGAGTTTTTTCCATGACAGGGCTGCCCGCAGGAACATGCTGAACACAGCCATGCGCGGCGGGTGTGTTTGTGTGCGTTTGGTGGGCATGCTTTCGAGATGTTGAATCGAGGAATCGGGCCGCTTGGATCGACTTGGCAGAGGTTCAAGCAGCCTCGGAAGTCGAGTCTGCAGATGAAGCAATCCACCAGTACGTTGAACAAATGTGATGTAGCGCAGCAGGTGTTGCATTTTCTTGGTGAGCTCTCAACTTATCAGGAGATGAAGGATTCGGCAAGCAAACTGGACTGAGGCTGGCCTGAGCGTCTTGAACCGAATGGAGTCCTGGGCCCTGGTTGCCGTAAATGGAGGGCCCTACCAGCCGATGATGGATTTGATTGCAGCGTGGCCCACCGCAAGAAAGCCATGCATGCTCCTGTTTTTCGAATCGCTTGAGAAGCACAAACTCTGGGGGCTACATGCCCCACTTGCAAAAGCTGATTGCATGTCCGCCTGCTGCAACACCACCCGAGGAAGAAAGCCGAGTACCCCGATCTTATCGAAAAATCGAAGGCGGAGGTAAGACGCTTGGAAGCAAATCTGCAAGACTCTGACCAGACACCAGTTGCACTCTGTTTAATTTACTCTTGCCAAGCGTTTGAGTTTGTGCTATTGTTTCCGTGTGTTTATCTATCTCAAACTCTTTCTACTGCTCAATATGTTTTTTGTTTTGTCTCAGCCTAACAAGCCTTCGCGAGCAACCAATTTCTCTCACTTGGAGTCTGGCAGAGCTTTTCGCTGATTACCAGCCACCACACATGCTGATGTCGTGGTGCAGCTTGAGGCTTTCGCCGACATGGAAGATTTGCCGTCAGTAACACGGTTATTGAAGTGGATTTGGGTGATGAGACACGCCCTGTACGCTTGATTCGGCCCCTGTGGAAGCCCGTTGCGACGTTGCTTTACATCGGCATCCCACGCTTTATTCCTTGGTCCTTGCAGGAGCCCGTCGTGGAGAGCTGGGCATGTGCTGAAGGCTTTAAGGTCCTCGCCATTAACGAGGACACCGTGAAGCCCGAGTTGCTGCAGGAGGACAATCCGCGCATCTTCCAGGATGATTTGCTTGCTGTTGTCCACGCATTGCTGCCACAGCTGGGTGACCGCTTCGTACTAGTCGACAGCTCATTCGGCCCTGGCACTTTCCTGACATGGGAGCTTCGGCCGTTTTTGCAAGGTGCCCTGATCATCAATGTGCATTTGTTCAAGGCACCTGACTTCGACGAAACCGAGCTGGCACAGAAAATCAAGAAGAGGATGGCATTTCTAGGCGAGACATACGGCAGTCGTGACTATGACAAAATCCTTCCTTTACTGTCCGACTTTACCTATCCCACTGGTGGCGCAGAAGGCATGGAGCAGATAAAGGCTGGCTACCAGACCGCCCTGGACAGTGCATCTGACAACTTCTGGGATCTGGCACGTTTACAGCCTTCCTGGAATTTTGCCAAGCTCACGCCGACGTTTTCTTCGATGCAAGAATGGCCGTTGCAGTCTCCGCCTGTCGTGCTGGCCGCCAGCGATCAAGCCCCCTTGGTGGTGGTGGGGGAGGCCATGCAGAGGCTGCAGCAGATCATGCCTGGTTCGCGGCTCGAGTTCATCCCTTCCAGCAAGTGGTCTTGGCATTTGGAAGGCATCTTGGCAGTGAGGCTCAGACATTTCAAGTTTAGGCAAATCCAACGTCACACTGCGCAGTCGTTTTGAGAGACCGGCATCAGCTGTGAAGGGGGCAGATGCGGCACGGATGCGGCAAATCCGGCTGAATCGTTCGCAGCCTGAGGAGCAGATGTGGCGACATTCATCTCGGAGCTCCTGGCCTCACTGTTGCCCGTGGGAGTGGCGGACCACTCGTCTCTGCAGGTGACACTGGCACTCGGGGTTGCAGTCTTTCTAACACCGCATGCCGTCACTTGAGCTGTGGAGACTTGGGCCTTTGCAGGACATCACCGATGAGTTCCCGGTTCTCGACACTTTGGGTGCTTCTTGATTTGAAGGTGGATTCAGGGCCTGTGCAGAGTCACACAAACGAGCCAAGGCAGTGCCCAACATCTCCTTGGAAGGCTGCCAGGTACCCTGCACACCTTGCAGGACCTGCAAGACATGCCCTGTGCAGTGAACGGCCGAAATATCGGTACTGCCAAGAAATCTTTCGTTGAATCGATTGGTGCCGGCCGCCAGCCGAATCGTTTCCTAGTGCCCCCGTAGCCATGACCTACCATGTAATACGTTCAAGTTGTTTTCTTTATGAAATTCCATCAACACAACTCTGGCCACTATGCAAAATCCTACACCCCGGAACGAGTACCGACAGCGCTTTTGGGTTCCGCAGCCTGTTTCCATGCCTCTCCTCGTGAGCAAAGAAGACTTGTACACTCCATTTCAGATAGCAAGAAGGACAGAATCGCTTACATCGCAAGCCATGACCCTGACAAGCAGATGTCCGCATCCTGCTTGTATCCAGAAATAGAGGAAACAGGCATGGGACGCTGACAATGGCAGACAAGCTTCCAAAGGAAGTTGGCTGCCTCATTCCTACAGCGACATCACAAGAGCAATGCCTGTACTTGTGCCGCAACTTTTTACCTGCACGCGCAATGCTTTTGAACCCCCCACTCGCAGACAGTACAAGTCAAAGGCTTGTCTCGTTTGCCATGTGCTGTGGAACAGCACCATGCACGTCCTGGAAAGCAGGTGTCGTGCTCGCAACTGTCGCTGCAACATGAATGAGACTTATTAGCAGGTTTAGGCCAAGGACACTTTGAGAATCCGACTCTCAGAGCGTGTGGGCGCTCATGCTGCAGTAGACCAGGATGGGTTCTTCTTGATGGTGACAATGGTGGCATGTGGGTTACAACAAAGCTTGCGCTCCTCTTGTTGCACTGGCTGGCGAATTTGCACTGTGATTCCGTCTTACAAGGCCAGATGACAACATACTTCTGCACTTTGATTGCCAGCACCTCGCAGGTCAGCTCCAATTTTCCCTCCAGAACGTTGCTCATGGCATTCGTATCATCCGCCGGCGGACTCAGATGAAGCGGCAACGTCACCGAAGCACGTTTGCAATTGCCAGCTGGTGCACTGCCTGCTGTGTTGGCCCAAGGTTGTGGCGACTCTTCTCCTTTCCGTGTCTGACTTGACCGGCACAGGGCATCTGACATTGTACAGTGTGTCCACGGCTTGGCTTCTCCGGTGCTTGGATTGCAACAAGCTCGTACAAGCACCTGATCGTTGAGCTGCAGGCGTTATACGATGACGCTGCATCCGAGCGATTATGCCAGATTCTGAGACCCAGATGCTGGTATAGTTTTCAGGAAGGAGTTATTTTCGCGGCCGATTCGCTCGAGGTCATGTTTGCCGTGCTCGGTGTGGCTGGTGGCCTTGCCGCTGTCCTCTGCTCTGGGTCCCTGTCTCTCTCGGTCTCTGTGAAAGCCTGAGGTCGGCGCCCTCTTTAACGCAATGAACATCAGGCCAAGCTGCCTACATGCGCTCAGGTAACTTGTTCAAGGAGCGTTCACCTGCTTCAGTGCTACTTGAATCACATGACGCATGAACAAGTCCAACTTCGTGGAACGGGAGCCTACGTGCAAGCATGAGCTGCGTCCGAGCAAGCTTCCGCATGCCAGGTGGTGCGCTTTCAAAGCAAAACCTGCATTCAAACGATGGTTGGGGCCGGTGCAAGAGGCCAGGAAAGCCCGAAGAGAAAGGCTATCCCTAGCCATCGGCATTGTCAACAGTGCATGTTCGTTGCGCCGATCTGGGAAGGCCTCCGTTCTCGCGTTCGTAACGCTTGTTTCGTCCTGGCCGCTGAGCCTGACGCGATACCTCATGGCATCGTGCTCGGCACTCCGGCATGGCACCATAGGAAACACAAGTTATGTGATTGCAAACCCTCGAAGGCCCCAACAATTCATGCTCTTTTTGACACGTGCAGCGACGAGCCCGGGGAGACGGTGCGCAGCAGGCGAGAAGGGGCGATGGAGTGATGCAGTGCCGGTCCAATGCCACGAAGAGGTTGCAAGCCGAGTTTGGACTTTGCACAGAGGACGGGTACAGCAATGCTCGGGACCCCGGACATCCTCGGACAGCGCTTTCATGACGTACGTAAGATCATGTAAGCCACTGGCAGAGCCACTGGCAGTCCTCGGGCAACGGCCTGCTTACCTCCCTCGGCCTGGCAGCTGCGCTCCGCTTCTGTTGCGGCCCCAGCTCCGATCTCCAAAGGGGCAGAGATGGGCGGGGAGCACTCTGAGGCCAGATGGTCTTCACCATTGGCTCGGTAGTTGCCTCGTTTGCACCCGCTTTTCTGACAGATTGCTGACCATACGCCATCCAGGCCTGCCCAGCTGGACTTTTTGTCCCGTCCCTCTTCGTCGGCGCATGTTTGGGGTCCGAGCCCAATAATGCTGCGAACCATTGCATGTTTTAGACATAATCTCAATCGGATGGTAATTTTTCCCATCATTAATATCTGACTGACATAATAATCAGACGGATGTCCACGCCATCCGCCTCCAAGGCGGTGCCTTGCGTTGGGTCTCAAAGCACTCAACGCAGGCACCCGATTGCCAGAGCCTCAAAACTGAACGACCGCCCGCGATCGGTTTGCAGTGACTCTTAGGGGCGCATCCATGCGCGCAGACACGTCGCGCGCAAGTGGGCCTCGCCGTCAGGTTTCCAAACAAGGTCGATCCGGGCGCTCGCTTCTCAGATCCCAAGAGGTCTGAGAGCCGCGCGGCTTCCAGCCTTCCAGGTCTATTCCATGGTGGGTGCAGCCTCGGTCCTTGGAGGGGTTAGCCGCATGCCACGGGCCTACCTTTGCGATGCGCCAGGCAGGCATTTGCTGGGATTCGGTTTGTTTTCCAAGGACGATATCTCTGGTCGTGATTATGTTGGAGCTGACCGGAGGTGCTCTTGTGATGTTGTCGCTCAAACTAGCAGCTCTTCGGTCCTGCAGGCTTAGACTACGTGGTGCCTTTCATGATTTCTGTGTTGCTGGCCAAAGCTGTTGGCGACTCTTTGAACGAAGGCAGGCCGGCTCGCAATACGAAGTACACATCCGTCGGCAGTGGCTCCACAACGAATTGCAACTTCAGCAAAGGTTAACCCGAACCGGAATCGGGACAGGACTCTGCGTAACACCTAGATTCGTTACTCTCCTCCATCAGTCTCTAAGGTTTTTCGCCTTATGGGCGAAACGCCCAAGAACATAAATCTGAAGTGCAGAGCTGCGAGATCCTGCGAGTCTGATGGAGCCTCCCTTGAAACACTGGCAGGCATTTACGACTTGCAGATCGTTTTGAAGGGCTACCCCTTTCTGCATGAAGAGCTTGGGCCCGAGCGGAACGACGGGCTTGCAGCTTGCAGTCGGGAATGTGACTGGGCGATAAGGTTGGATGTAACCTTCACGGAGCGCTGTTGTGATATCATGGAGACAGGCAATTACGTGCATTAAGGCCGTACAAGCTCAGGGACGTTTTTAAATTGCGTGCAGTTGACCAGGCTTGGTGAAGCTCGACGTGAAGCTTCGCCCCCGCTTCCTTGTAGCTCTGCTGGCCTTAAACTCTAAAAAGTTTTTTACTGCATGTTTTTGAGCAGTACCATGTCGGAATGCTCAATGTGTGAGGACATCCGTGTAATGGTCCGGGCATTCACGTTCCGCGGCTTTCCGGTGGTTGATGGCGATCGCTTTGCAATCCTCTCAGACAAGAAGATATCAAAGCTCCCTGGCTCGGAGCCATGGCCAAGTCGTCTATCTTGCAGCTGTGATGAGGTTGGCTACATCCGTCGATCAGCGTCGAGGGCTCAAAAGCAAGATCTCTGCATGATCGGCTGCAGGCAGCACATCTGAAACAGCTGTGTATATGCTGTTGCGACTGCCCTTCCGTCGCAAAGGTTGGAGGACTGGCTCTCGCGAATGGAGCTCGTCCGAGGCCAGAACGAGGCACAGCTTTGCGCCTTTACAGAGTCAGCTCATGGGACGATCCAGAAAATGCATCAGAAGACAGGTGGTGGCTCTGGAGGATTTGGCTTCCGTCATCGACTCTACGGCCCCGGTCTCTGGGTTTGGCCCTGGAAGGGCGTCGCTCGGAGGGATTCATCACTCGCACAGGTCATGCGCATGGTGCCCGACGCCCCGCTGACTCAAGCACATCAAGTCTTCAAGCAGCGAGGGCCACATACTTCCCGGACTCAGCTGCGACAGCGTTGAATCTGAAAGGCTTGGCTGCCAGAGAATCTTCATTGTGGGTTCTGTTCCCGGGGGCCAGCAGGAGCCTCCGAATGCCCGTGCCCATTTTTGTGCGCATCGGATGGTTCGCTCCCATAGCCTCGCTTGCAGGATCTGCTGCGCGGGATCCTAACCAAAAAGAGTTTCCTCAAGTTCCTCCAAGACGGCACAGCCATGGCCTCGCAGCACCAGAGGAAGGACGGCCCATGTGCTTAACGCTGGAGCATGTCTTGAGGTAGGGTGTATGCCCGATGTGTCCTGGCCTTGGGGTCGTCGTCCGCCATGCCAGCCAGACTTGTGCAGTCGGACAGTGGAGCAATGTACCGCTTTGCCAGATTCGATTGGTTGAGGCTGCAGTACTCCACGTTAGAAAGAAATGGCCCTAAGCTCAGTTTTGGTGGCAGGCGTCCCAGGTGCCCCAAAGCTTCTCCGGTTCTTGGTGCTGCAACGTCGCACAGCAAGGCAACTTGCGATTTGCATACGAGGGGCTTGCTGCTGAGAAATCAGATTTGGCCCCGTGGATCTGGGAGTTGCGATGAGCCACGGACTGCGAAGCTGCGTGAGATGTCTTTTCCAAAAAAGAAATCGCTGAGGCCTCAGCAAGAGAGCACTGCCAGCCACATTCGGGTGGGCGAAATTTTCTCAGTTCTCAATGCTTGCGCCTGAGCGAAAGAGCGGCAGAAACCCGGGCCAGTCCGACTTTCCGAGGCTGCAGCAGAGGCTGGCGAAGAGAGCAGGCTGTGCGAAAGACATAACAAAATAAAGGCTTCTACGCAATTTCAGCGGGGTCTTTTCGTTTGGTCTGCCAGAGCCTGTTTTCGAGGCCAGATGACGGTGCCAGCCACGCCAGCCACGGAGCCTCGGCGAGCGATGTTGAAGAGGAGACCTCGATTTGCGCCCGGGAGACTTCCTCTTGGGACCCCGTCCATGCCTTATGATCCTTATGCCAGGCACAAGAACGAAGCCCTAAATCGCCGAGATTGTAATTCGCAACCTAGGCGTAAATGCGCCAGGGTTGCAACAGTGCATGCTGGGCCCTTTCACAGGAAGGACTTTTGCATGTACCAAAGTGTTCTTTGCTTCGCTTTAGGCCACAAACTAGGCACGCCAACGCGTCACAAAGGCTGACGTACTCGGCAACTGCGAGCTAGGCAAGCATTTCCTGGCTTCTCCAGCACGAAAAGAAAAGAGCCCTTTCAAAGTTCAAGGAGCTGAGGCACTGCTTTCTTTCGATGTCCCGAGCGTAAACCAATTCCAAAGCCATCTCATCTGCAAGCATGGGCCCAAACGTGCAGCAGACAGCATGGCTTACACACCAGCAGTGCTTGGAGGCGAATCATTGTCTTGTTGTTTGCATAAGCGAGTTGTGTGGTATCCATGGGATGCGCCAGCTCAAGCCCTGTCGTGGAAGCTGCTACTTGGATCGGATTTGCGGTTCCGTTGTGGCAGCCAGCTGCTTCGAAACCTTGCTGTGCCTTTCAGGCTTCGAAGCCGGCGGCTACCACATCGACTAGCCTCGCATCAAATCCGGGGGACGATGGCTACCCCGATTATTGGCAGCCCAATGCATGCAGAAGCTTCTGCAACGCTTGATTTGGAGCTGTGGTGTGCAAAGTTCTGCCTGTCGTTGCCGTGGACTTGGGTGGCTTCGGGCAGTTGGAACCAAGGTACCATAATAAGACGGCAGACCAGACACCCGGATTTGATGACATGCATCTTGGCAAAGCAGCACTAAGTATTCCGTCCTCTTTGCTTGCCATCGGCCTCATGTGTTCCCCTGCCTGTGAGTGTACATTCCTGGAGAATTGCCGACTTGTCGTCCATTAGCTGGGTTAGACTTGTCGCCAAGATTGCGGAGCTTGCTAGGCAGAAGACTTCGGGTTGCACCAGATTCCGGTGGTTTCTGGTGTGGTGACATGAGACGGGAGAGAGCTTCAGGTCAGCGCCCAAAGCTTGAACGTCCCAGCCAAGGTTTTATGCTCCGGACTCCGAGCATCACTGCTTCCAAGAGATGTTTGAAGAATCCTATGCATCTCGGCACGGCACGGCATCAAATAACATGCTCCGGGGCAGATCTGACCCAGGTCGCAAAAGCGACGCAGGACCGCCCATGCCCGAAGGGCACTTGTGGCAAAACACCTGGAGGCTGCCCCTGCAACCAGTGCCTCGACTGCACCTCAGAGCTCAGACGTTAAGGGCTGCTCTCGAGTCCTCGAGGCCCGGAGCAGATCCCGGACTTCCAGTGTCTTTCCATGTTCAGCGCGTCATTCGCGTGGAGGCGAATGTTCAGACTGTGTCGGGCCAGCACTGCGGATTGCACAACATGTAGCCATTGCTTGCCCTTCTGCTGTGCGCGAGTCCTCGGAGCTGTGGGAGCGAACCTTGGCACGAAGCAGATATGCTGGAACTTGGCAGTTCTGGCCAGAGAGGCCTGCAGGTGTTGCTGCGAAAAAGGGAGTGCATTCAAGGCTACCAGAACAAGAAAAAGGCAATCATGGCCTCGCGGCCTGGTGGCGTCGAACAGTTTGACCCTCCCGTCAAGACAATGAACAAGGCCTCCGAGTACACCGGCAGCTTGGCCCTTGCAGATCTCAGGATCACAATGTCAGACACAGCCGACATTAAGTTCACGGAGTGGAAGTTTCGTTCGGGACTGTCGAGGTACATTTGCTCCGGTGGACGGATCCATCAACGAGGTCTATGCTTTCCACGGCACGCAGGTGCGCTATGCCTTGGCAATCGCCGAGAACGTTGCTGAGCTGCAAAGACCCTTGAGATCGTGTTTCTGAGTAAGTCTTGCATGACTGCGTGGCTGTATGTGGGAGCAACTCGAAGGCGTTCAGAATCGACCTCGCGGGCTCAAGCACGGGCACGTTGTACGGTCGAGGGGCATATCTGGGCGAGTCTATCAGCAAGGCAGGGAATGCAAGTCTTGATTGTTGGTCTTCAGTCCCTCTCTCTTTCAGGCAGATGAGTATGCAAAGGACGAACCAGGAGGCTACTATGTTCCTTGGCAGCAGGAGCTTGACTTGACCAAGGCTTGCAGGGGCAGTGCACACTTGTTCCTAGGACGGCGTCTTTGCTGTCCTGGTTTGCCGTGTTGTTATGGGCAAGCTGAACTGTACCAAATCTGACGCGAAAGCGGCGGAGAAAGTCAGCGCTGGACAGTTCGACAGCACCTGTGGCACGCGCAGCTCAGCAGATGAATAAGCTGCATTTTCTTCCTTTTGTCATTCTTTTTCCGCTGAAGATGGAGCGGTGATGCTACCTGTACTCAGCATCTGATTGAGCAGGTGTGTTTCGAGAGCTGGTGATCTACGATGCTGACCAGTGCTATCCCGAATATGTTGTTCTCTACAAGAGGAAATATGCCAAGGCAGGAATGGAGCGACCTGCAGAGCACAGACGATGCCTTTCGCACATCTTCAGCGATGCAGGACCCGGAGGAGGAAGAGACCACAAAGCCACGGAAACGCCGATTCTTCATGCAAGTGCCACTTCACTGGAGGACCTCTTGAAGCAGCCCGCAGCGAAAAGTGTACAAATCTCAGCTACTTGAGTCGAAGGGTTGTGTAGCCTCGAGGAATGTCGCGACCGACTTATCTGCCGGCTTTCGGGAGGAGGTTGATTTGAAAGGCGCGCACCCTTGCAGGAGATAAGAAGCCGTAGACTGCTTGGCGTATAAAAACTTCTGGCCTCCACTGCAGGTCCGGCCACTACATGGATGCAGTGCGTGTGGCACTTGGCATCCGCTGCTGAAAGGGTGTAGGCTGCGGAGTTGCATCGAATGCTAAGTTGGTCAACCAAGCACAGCTCGTGCCAGCACGGTCCATCCTGCAAGCAACACGGTTGGAAGACTCCAAGATATGGGAGCGCTATGCATCTCTGCTTGGATTGGCCGCTTCATGATGGTGCTCCATAAGGTTGAAAGCGAACAGTTGCAGCCTGTTAACCAGGTGCAATTCAAGGCGGCTCTGCGCAGTCGGATAGATGACCGAAGTGGAGATCCCTTACGGCTCACTTTGGTGGAGAGCCTTTGTTCAAAGCGGCTGCCTGGGTTAGAGCCTTCCTGTGTTGAGATGTTGCCTGAAAGGAAAGACCTACGTGCGCTGATGAAGCGGCCATGCAAGTTTTTTAAGACCCCGCGGGGCTGTAAGTCCGGCGACAAATGCAGGCCACTGTTGTCCAGACCTGTCCTTGGGTCGAGAGCAAAGCGACAAGATGCACCCACAGGTTTTCGCACAACGAGTTTGGGTTAGACTTGGACGACTTGGGTCTTGCAGCCGGTAGACGCTTGCCGGTGGCCTGGCACAGCGTGACATCACCGGCAATTGAAGTCTGCCTTCATTGCAGCAACAGGTGGATGAACTGGACAGGCGTTTGCATGAAGGCTTCTTGTGGTATGCTTGCGCGGGCCCAAGAAGTTTAGGGGAATTTTCGATGGGCAGCTGCCTCGCCTCAGGCACGCGGTCAACCGCCTCGGAAGCATGGCAGACATTGTCTCCTCCTACGTGTCCCCTTCACTACTTACACGACCCAAGGAACTGAGCCAGGGCCATGTGAAGAAGGATGCGACACTTCCAGGGACACGATTCTACGAAAGCTTGCAGACCGCGCTCAAGCAGACGAAGGCTGAGGCAACCTGGCATGCATATGCATGCATGGGAGATTCCTCACCTGCCCTAGCCAGATACCTCCGCTGCATCAGGACGGCATGAAAGCGGCGGTGCTGTGCCGCGTCATGTGCGGGCTGCCCGGCGTTGATGTTGCTGACGACAACACCGACTTCATGATCATCGAGGTATGAGCAGGGCGATATTTTACCGGAGCTACTCAAGTCTTTATGACGTGTCAGACCGATGCCAATGGACGCAGAGAAGTACTCGTCAAAGACGGCAGCCCCTAGCCGTGATAGTGCTGGCTTGCACGTGAACTGGCATGAACCTCAGAAGCATCTCAGGTGCTGTTTACCCCGAATACCACTTGTGCCTCAGCTACAACGATGAAGAGGAGCAACCCGGCCCGGCTCGACCTACATGGTAGCACCGAGTCTTGCTTGCCTCCTGACTTGGAGAGCTAGTTGACATCGATTACATGCACAGCATCACATTTGTTTTGCGATGTTCTTTGTTCATCATGGCGTACACCTTGCTGTCGGATCCATCCCATGTGGGATTGACCTGCAGGAGGTCGAAAAGATGATTGAAAGCATGGACAGATCACCGAAAGGCACACTCCCTTGGGCGCGGCAGACAGAGAGAGAGAGAGAGGGTTAAAGTCGACTCAAGGCGAGGGTTGAAAAAGGCGGGCATGGGAAGTTTGGGAGTGGCCCCAGGAGACCGCACCGGCGATAATGTAAATGACAGTAACCAATGCAACCGAAAGAGTGCCGGATGTCCCGGAGAGGCAAGGATGGCGACGAGCCGCGACTGGCTGTGGACGACCCGACTGAGGAGCCAGGGGAGAAAGGCCAAGCCTGTTGCCTGCGTCGTCATGCAGGAAGTATCGCCAGCCCGTCTCTTTTCTGCTGTTCTCTTCCCACCAGGCATGCTGTGCTGCGCCGTCGCAGAATGACCGGAAGATGCCTGCGGATGATATGCCGGATGGAAATCCATCGAGATGTTTACACCCTCGGCAGGACATGTTGCGGTTCGGACACTGCAGTCCGTTTTAATCTGCTACTAGCGCAGTACCGTGCTCGTGGTTGAGGTTGTGGCGCGAGCGGCAAAGTCCAGCGTGAGTAAGCAACATCTCGCCTCACAAAAGTAAGGCAAAAAAATTGCTGCTGAACACTGTAACATTCAAGCATGTACATTCAAGACGGCGAAGTTCCTTACCTCGTTCTGGTGCACCAAATAGTCCACACGGCTGTGGCATGACACTCAAGCACTACCACCCCATTCTGTTTCCAAATGCATTGTGCTCAATCAGGGTAGCCCCGGTGACCATGATGAGCTACTGGCCATGGGTTCCGGAGCAAGTAAGACTCCCACAGCACCCAAAGTCATCCACGCTGCTCCGGAGCCGGCCTGCTGCCCAGTGCACGAAAAGCTTGCTTCCTGCAGTTTTCGCAGCCAGCCTAAGTGAAACCCAGGTGAAGACAACCAGCTCACGCTCGCCAGAGGACGATGCGCCAAAAGGAGATGTTCCTAGGATAAGCCAGAGAAGCGAAGTGTCCGCTTCCGGCGACGATGCTCTTCCGGAGTACTGGCACCCTGACCAGACGTACTGCCACATGAGAGCATATTCCATTGGCACATCTGTAGGGTTCGCATGGCATGCTACTTCAGGTATCACTCCAAGGGGACCGCAGACCATGCAAATTCTCGCTTTGATGATATGTGCCCCAGCTTTATCCAGCTACTGCAGATCTTCAGCTGAACCAACTTCACCCAACGCTGCGACTGTGCATTGTAACAGGAACGCGCGCAACTGGCGAAAGTTGCACAAGACTCGTTCGTTTGGGCGAAAACAGTGCGTCCTTCTTGTCCGTCCTCTTTGCCGCAACAGTTGGTCCCGCCGCGCTGGGCCCCATGTCATACGCATTGTAAGGGGAACGCCTCAGAAAGCGCAAGGTGCTTGCTTCACCACACATCACCAGGAGTACCAGGTTGAAGCCCATGCACGGGCTGCAGTGTTGACGATCTTTACCCTCAGCTACTTGTTTGTCCGCGCTCGCACATGCCAGCGATTTGGTGGCTATTTTCGGTTGCGCCGTCTAAGAGACTTTTGTGGCATTGTCAACCACCCAGCCGACACTGAATTTCTCCAGAAGTTAATGTGCTGCATCTCCGCAAATGATTCTGTACTGTGTCGTTCTGCTCCGACCCTCTCTGCGAGCTAGCTGTGCTGCGCGAGAATGCCGAAAGTGATCCTGCTAGCACACTTTTGCCTGCAGGCGGCATGCTGCGATATGCTGCCATTGTGCTGAATGCTTCTTGTGTCAGGTTCTACGCACCGGAGACAGAGCATGCAGCTTTTGAAGAGATGCTGAATGAATCGTATGCAGCTTGCGGCATGTGGACTTCGGTCCTGTGGCTGGGGTTGAGAGCCTGTTAGAGATCAATTGTGTGGTTAAGGTAGCCAAAGCCACACAAGACCGACCTTGTCCCACTGGCGAGCATGGCAAGACTCCAGGCGGATGTCCTTGCGTACAGCACCTTGGCTTTCCGAAGAGTGTTCTTTGCGGACAGCTCTACAGTGCGAAGCGTTCTATAGGACAAGGCATCTGCTCCTGAGCCACAACCGAGACTGAAACTTCCAGCAAGGTCAGCAAGTGTACGAGCAATAGACCTACCAATGCACCGTATTTAATGCGCCGCAAGCAATGGACCTGTCTAGTTGAGTCCAGCTCATCGCGAAAAGCCACGATGCTTGCTTGAAAACTGGCTTCTCGAGCTTACCGAGGCCAGGTGCGGATCCAGGGCTTCCCACGAGGTACCGCGTCCGTCGGGTTATTCGAGTGGAGGCGGGAAGGCAACGGCGAACGTGCTAAGTTGCCGACATGTGTCGCACAGGCCTCCGACATTTGGAGGAGTCACTCAGCTGTGTCGGTGCGGCGATGGACTTTGCTCCGGCTGGACGGCAGTTCCGCATTCCGTTTACACCCTCCAGCCAAGGATATGTAGATAAGCGCAATGCCATCCGGGAGAGTCGGGACAGCGAAGGGATTGAGGAGTTCAATCCTCCGCCGTTGACGCGGTCAGTGGCCGAAAAGTATCCAGGTATCCTGGTTCTGGCATTTCTGATTTCGCACCCAGCAGGGTTCCATAGGTTCCCTTTGAAATCACTGGGCTGAAGGTACCTTTGCTCCCTTGGACAACTCTGTGAACGAGGTCTATGCTTACCATGGGACCTTCGTTCGCTATGCCTTGTCCATTGCGGAAAACGCTTCTTTGCTTTGAAGCAGCAAGCTCACTCCAACCCTTCGGATTGGGATAGAAAAAGACCCTCTTTCTCTTCTGGCACATGGCGGAAGCATCTTTAAAGGTCTTGGCCCCTGTCATCCAAGGACTTCAAAATCGAGTATGCAGGCTCCAGTACTGGAACACTGTATGGTCGAGGTGCATACCTTGGCGAGTCCATCACAAAGGCAGGGCTTCCGCGAATCTCGTGCTGCCCCGTGCCGCGTTCAAAGAACTGTTAGGCGGATGAGTACGCCAAGGACGAGCCTGATGGCTACTATGCAGCTTGTCGAGAGGTATAAACGCAGAAGGGGAGAACCTCTGCCAGCCGCATGTCCTGCATGCTCTCAGGATGGGGTGTTTGCCGTGCTGGTCTGCCGGCTGACAATGGGGAAGATGAATTGCACAAAGGGCGATCCAAAGGCAGGCGAGAGGGTCATGTCCGGCGAATTTGACTCGACTTGTGGCACCCGCCTCTCGGACACCTTCAGCACGTCAGCACGAGGTGCTCTCCGCGCACAGTTTCAGGTCTCGCGATAGCTAACTGAGGCTTGTTCCGTGAATTGGTGGTGTACGATGCAGACCAATGCTATCCGGAATACCTCGTGCTTTACCAGCGGGTCTATGCAAAAGATCTCCACCTGCAGATAGCTGAATTTCAATATCAAGTTCACCGCTTGGGTTGCGGCCCTTGATGACCGCTGCGACGGGGAACTGTCCGCGTGCAACGGTGCAGGGGCCTCATTAACGAAGCAGGCTTCGTATTTGCATCCCAGGAGCACTTTGTCTTCGTTACCATTAGTGAACTTGTATGCACGCACTACATAGGGCAAGCCACGCCCATCAGCAAGCCTCACACAGGGCATGAAGTCTCAGTCAGAATCTGGGTCCATGCTCCACCTTCAAACTGGAGAGTGACTCTGTGCGAACTGTTGTTCTGGAGTGTTGCGAGCATTCGGCCCGCGACACGTTGGATATATCTCGACACCGACCAACACTTCATCGCAGGGAAGCAAGACATCCCCGAGCCACATTGGTTACAAAGCTGCTGTACTAAGGATGATGAGCATGCAATCGAGGAAAAAATGAAGCGCAAGTTCTTCATGCAGATACCCCTGCATTGGAAGAGCCTTAGCAGCCTTGATGGTCTTCTATCAGGGAGGTTTGCCTTGCTCCCGGAGAAGCTTTCTGGGGAGAGTTGAGAAGTTGCGCCCGTCTTCGCAGGAACGTCGCCACAAACCTGACCAAAGACAGATTCAGCAATCCGGAACCATTAGAAGGCACCGTGCTCTGTCGGGCTTTGCACGTTTTTAAACTGCTGCTGCTCTGGCCTTTGGCAGATGCTGGCAAGACTCACATGCAGTGCGTTCGCAACTTACTCTGATGTCATGAGGTGTCTTGACGTTCTGAATTTCCACAGACTCAAACTTGATCCTGATGCTACGCTCAGTTGGTCAACCAGTCACGAGTCCAGCCCAGCCGGACGCTACTGCGTGCCGAGCGCTTGGAGGATGCCGATCTCTGGGAGAAATGGGCTCCTGGGCCTGGGATTCGCAGAAAAACTGTCCCTCATGGGTTTGCTGTTTCCCCTCACTTATTGCTTCTCTTGGAGTCAGGTTAGCGTGAAAGCCGACTTGCACGAGCGGCTGGCTGAAGACGAGCAGCTGGCGGAAGACTTGAAGAATTTGGGTTTCGAGCTTAAGGTGAATATGGTGGAGACACTGGCTTGCACATACCTGACAGGCTTTGTCGATGTGAAGTATGACAAGTGTGCTAGAGATGCAGCTGGGCCTCTGAGGAAAGACTTGCGAGCACTCACAAAGCGCCCGTGCAAGTTCTTGAAGAAGGGCTGCAGGAAAGGCGACAAATGCAGGCAGGCCTGTCAAATGCGGATTGGCGGCGAATCAGCCGAAGGTTCGCGACCTGGCTGGCAGGTTCTCGCACAACGAGTTCGCCGCAGACCTCGGGGAGGAGGGATTGGCGGCAGGTCGGCGTCTCCCTGCAGGATTCCCAGTGAAGCTGAACGCAGCTGAACAGCTTACCGATGCTTGGCGTGGCAAAGCAACGACGGGCTTTGAGCTGAGGTCGATGAGCTTGACAAAGAGGTCCACGAAGCCTTCCTTTGGATGGCCTGCTTGCCCCCCAGGTTCGAGGCTGCGAAGTAAGATCTTGAGACCTTGCCATCAAGGTTCGACCGAAGAGGAAGCTGAGGACCTTGGGACCACCTGGTTCATGAAAGTGCTGTAGACACCTTCACCGCGCTTCTTTTTGGATTTGACACTGCAGACTTGAACATTGTCGCAGCGTTCGAAGGAGATTGGTAAAGGTCAGATGAAGATCTCGAAGAAGTACGGGTATGGTGCGCACTTCTACGAAAGTTTGAACACCGCTCTCAAGGCGGTCAGATCGAAGGACACTGCCAAGAAGTAGGACCATGCACAGAGATTGCTGTTCCCATGACTTGTCAGCTTCAGTAACGGTATCGGCTGAAAGGACGGCACCAAAATTGCGATTCTTTGTCGGGTGATCTGCGGAGTCCCATCTGACAATCCAGAAGAGCGAGACGGGAAAGACTGCATTATTCTGAAGGCCAGTCCCTGGCTTAATGCTGACTACTGTGGTCGGATACCGAAACCGAACACGGCGGGTACAGCTTTGCAAGCCTTTCCA